ATTAAATAATGGTGAATTCTCTCAAATCATATTATTGAGGGGCTAATACCCTAAACTTTTTAGGTGGAGGGCCAATAACCTTAAAATCTATAAGTTAAGGGTCTAAACAGAGGTTGAGCCTTTTAGAATTTGATGAAAGTAATTTTTTTTTTTTAAATTTTAGAATTTGATTAAACTTAAGTTTGTAACTAATTTTATTATGTAGAAGAAGCAATTCAACCCTTATACTTATAATGTTGTCGCATGTCAACTCATATACTTCAAACCAATACAATTAACCCTTTAACTACACGAAATTCACAATCAACCTTTTTAGTAAAGATAACATCATTTTTTTGTTAAACCGTTCATTGCCTCGTTAAGATGAAATGATTAGGCACTACGTCGATGATGACTAAGCAATGACTTGGACCAAAAACACATCTTGAAAATCCTTAAAGTGAAAAGTCATTGCTTAGTCATCACCTAATCAGTGCCTAGTCATCCCATCTTAATGGGCAATGGACGATTTAACTAGAAAATAACGTTATCTTTACTTAAAGGGTTGATTTGCAGATTTCGTTTAGTTGAGGAGTTGATTTGCACTAATTTAAAGTAGAGGATCGACATGCCATAATATTAAAAGTATAAGGGCTAAATTGCACCTTTTGCCATTTTGCTTTTGCTAACATACGCTTTTTCTTTCATACTTCATTTTCTTTTTTTTGACCATGGTTTTAAGACTGGCCCGACCTGGTCAATTGAATAAGTTCAACTGGACTTGGGCTTAAAAAGGGGTCAGTTTCATACATTGGTCTGTTTTGCACGTTGGCCCATCCAAGCCCGTTACACCTGCCAAACCTGCTCCAAAAGCCTAGCTCGTTCCACCTACCGGGCATAATCCGTCATCCCTTTTATTAACTTCTTCTTATATTTTAAATGTAATTTACCTATTTTATGCCATCTTTTTAATGATATTACATTAAAAACCTTAAATTTAAACTAAAATTAAATCTAAAAGCCCTAATAAAAAAAGTACTATTTTGTAAAATACCTGGAAAAATAAAATTAGAAAGTAGAAAACCAAAAAGACATCGTCAGCTATCCTTCTCCCTCATCCTTGCTCCATCTCTATAACTCCATCGGTATCTCACACCAATCATTGACTCACCCTCATCTCCCCCGCCAAACAGAACTCCTTCGCTGAACAGAAGCAACAAAGTAGCTTGATTTCCCTACTCCACTTTTGTAGGCATCTCACCAATTATCGTCATATCTTCTCCACTAAACAAAAGCAAAAATCAGTTTGATCTCCCTACACCTTCGTCGCCACCTCACCACCTTTCCTTTGTCGTCAGCATCCTGATAAAGCTCACACCTTCGCCACTCATCTTCCTCTTCTTCACCGGACCAAACAGAAGCAGCAAAGAAAACAAATCATCCCCTTCATTACTAAACAGAAGTAGTTTGTGACTCCTCTCCTCTTGGACATTTGATTTGAGTAAGATTTCTAACTTTACCTTGAATTTCGTTCTCAAATTTATATGTTCTATTAATTGTTGATAGAAATTAATTCTTTATTAATTAGTATTGGTTTAAGATTTAGAAAAATTATGTATGAATATCACGCTTTCATGCTTAATTTTATTTTTTCCTAATTTGTTATGCCTTGATTTTAAATTTTAATGTAGCATCTCTATTCAAATAAATTCTTATTTATCATACTTGGACTCTTAGAGTTAGAGGTTTTGTTAATAATTTTCTATATTTGTGTAAATTATAGGAAAATGTCATCTTCCAAACAAAATTCAACTATTGCATCCACAAAATCACAACAATCATGTAGAGGAAAAAATGATATTGCATGGAAGCATTGTGTTGAAGTTGAAGGCACAAAAAACAAAACATTACAATGCTTGCATTGCCAAAAACTAATTACAGGAGAAGGAATAAATAGAATGAAACAACACCTTGTTGGAAAAGGTGGAGAAGTAAAAAAATGTGACAAGGTGCCTCATGATGTTTGTTTCTGAATGCAAGAAAGTTTGAAAGAATTTGAAGAAATCAAGAAACAAGCTAAAAGTCAATGGGAAGATAATCCATTTGGTGATGTTGACTTACAAGAGATTCTCGCTCCACCATCTCAAGTTAAAGGAAAGGAATAGCAATTACCATGGAAAATAGTAAAAAAAGAAAGGCAAGTGGGTTGCATAATTATTTCGCTCCGAGGACAACTCCTGGATCCCAACCATCAATTAGGAGTGCAATGGCAGGGATAAAAGATATCCATCAAGCTGATTTAGCTGTTGCTAGATTCTTCTTTAATAGTTGCATTCCTATAAATGCTATTAATTCCCCATACTTTCAGCCTATAATTGATGCTATTACTGCAATTAGTCTTGGTTATAAAGGATCAACTTATTATACCGTGAAAACTAGTCTTTTGAAAGATTTAAAAAACGAGGTTCAATTGTTGATTGATTCTTATAGAAAAGTTTGGGAAGAAACAAGTTGTACAATTATGGGTGATGGTTGGTAGGATAAAAAAAATAGGCAATTGATTAATTTTTCTTTTCTATTGTTCTAGAGGGATAACCTTTGTGAGATCTGTTGATGGTTTTGATGTGGTCAAAGACACTAGCATGCATTGCAATTTGTTTAAAGAATTGGTTAATTATGTTGGTGCTAGTAATATTGTCCATTTGATCACTGATAATGTAGCTAATTATAAGAAAGTTGAAAAAATGTTAAATGACATGTATCTAACTATCTTTTGGTCTCCTTGTTTTGCGCATTGCTTGAAATTGATATTAAGTGATATTGGCAAGTTGGATGTTGTGAGTAAATTAGCAACTAGTGCATCATTAGTGACTAAATTCATATATAATTATGCTTTTCTCTTAGCTTGGCTAAGAAAGAGAAAAGGGTGCACTGAAATTGAGAAGGGTGGACTGAAATTATACGTCCAAGGCCAATACGTTTTGCCACTATATTCATTGCATTGAAAAGCATTCTTGACCACAAGCATGATTTGCAAGCATTGGTTACTAGTTTGGAATTTAAAGAGTCTAGATACTATAAAGATTCAAAGGCAAAAGATGTTGTTGTTGTTGTTGTTGTTTTAGATAACAAATTTTGAAGTAATTGTCAACTTGTTGTGAAAGTTGTAGCACCAGTTATGCGCTTCCTTAGAATTGTTGATGGTGATGAAAGGCCTTCGCTTGGGTATATCTATGATGGCATGTATAGGGCTAGAAAGGCAATTAAGACTATATTGATGGATAAGAAGTCTTTATATAAGCCTTATACAAAAATTATCAAGGAAAGATGGGATAGGCAATTTCGTCAAAGTATTCATGCTGCTGCCTATTACTTGAATTCTTTTTTCTTTTATGATAAAGATAATTTTTGAACCAAGCAAGAAGTGATTAAAGGTTTTATGGATGTTGTGGATGCAAAAATTCCTTCTCAAAAGACAA